TCCTCCATGGCCGCCACCATGTCCTCTAATCCAGAAGGCCGGTGCCTGGAGATGCTCCAACAGACGATCGAGCGTTGGGCAGCGAGTCTCCAACGCTCAGAGCGTGCACACGAAGAAGCCAAGGCTGCTCTCCATGCTTTGGGCGTCCGTTTCCAGCGCAGCAGGAGCCCACGCTATCGTCGCGACAGTGATGCCTAGCTCCTTTTCATATGCACCCCCACAAGGTCTTTTGAAGGGTCCTCACCTCGGCTCCAGCCGCTCAGGGGCACGCTGTCCCACAGCACCTTGGCGGCCGAAGGCGACGATTTTTAGCCCAGGCTCCCCACGGGAGTCGGTCTCGAGCTCTATTACTGCCGCCGCTCTGTGGCCAAAATTGTTGCTTTGCAGAGCTTGCGTCTGCAGTCTGTCCGCCACCTCTCGTCAGCCTACCTATGTGCAAGTGAGCCGAGCAGGCTGCATCACATGGCCTCTGCCACCTGCCCGCCGCCCAGCCTCCCGTCGATGCTTCGGTCTTCGTCTCAGATGTGCCCGCCTGCGTTCCACATGCGGCCGCAGGTTCCGCGGGTCCCGCAAATCTCGCGCCCGACTTCGGCACCCCTGCAGGCGCAGCTGCATGTCGCTTTTGAGGATATGGCTCTACCGCCTGAACAACATCCGCGATGTTCACTGGCATCTATACGCGCACAACCTAGCGACTATCATGCGCTTTCTTGAACCCTCAGAACACCATTCCCTCCCTTTGTGTACTGCTGCGCCCGGTCCCAAGTCCGGGCGGGACGTTGTATATCGGGTGCCTCCTCGTGGTCTTCGCCTTTATACCCTCTTGGCACTACCCCACCTTTGTGCCGCTATGCAAGTCCCTGAGCCGAGGGTTGGAGGCACTGGCAGTCGCCATCCTCCTGAAGCCGTTCAAGATGAACGCTCTTTTCTCATCCCTCAGGCAAAGCCGTGCGACTCCTTTGTCGCTTCTCTCCCTCGACTCTCTCGCTTCTCTTTTGCCTCCTCCATTCGGAAACGTGCTCTCCAAAGGGCCCTCTCGAGGGCAGACCGCTGCGGTAGTGCAATGTATCGTGGCCAACGTATCGATAGTGACGGCTCCTTTCTCACGAGGCCGACTCGTGCCGTGCGGTCTCAGTCCGGCCCCAGGCCGCGTGAGCCGCCACGTTTTCATTTCTTGAGTTGGAATGCTGGTGGGCTCTCTAGTGACCGTTATCAGCAGATTGCTCTTTGGCTACGAACCGAAGGGCAGCATCTGGCTCTTGCTGCTATCCAGGAAACGCACTGGGCGTCGGATCTGACCTTCAAAATGGAAGGCTGGCAAGCTCTTGCCTCCCCATGCAAGGATCGTGTCTCTGGCATTCTGGTGCTTGTCAACCTTCGACTTTTCCAGCAGGACCGTATCCAGTTCACTTCCATCATCGATGGCAGGCTGGTTCACCTGCGCGTGGAAGGGGACCCTTCCCTTGATGTCGTCATTGCTTATCAGCACCTCTACTCTAGCACAAAGGCACTCCCGGGTGCCGCTGGTCTGGAACAGGCTTTGGTCAAGCGATCCATACTGTGGACCAAGCTACATCACACACTGGCACGGTTCCCAGGTCGGAATTCGGTATTAGTGCTAGGAGACATGAACACTGACCTTTTACCTGATTTGCCGTTCGTTGGGCAGGGAGTGCGCACTCGTCTCGGGCGCCCTCCCCCAGATCAACAGGAGTTTCAGCAGCTGACCCGCACGTTTTCGCTACAGGCCCTCAACACCTTCGGACGCGCGGGCTCTCATGCACAAACCTTCCTGCCTGCTGTAGGCAACAGAGGCACGCAAATCGATTTTGCGCTTACGCGTCGCATTGCCGCTGACGGCATTGCTAGGCGCACTGGTCCGACCTGGCTTCCCTTTGTCGAACCCAGTGGGCTTCGGCACCTGCCTGTGCTGGGCTCCATCCTCAGGCCTGCCCTGCCCAAAAGAGCCCAGAAACCTTGTGCTCCCTCTGTGACCCTTGCCTCCATCAGGACGGCTTTGCGCATTGATCCATCCCTTGCCGCTCGCTTTCAGAATCAGGCTCGACTCCTGATAGCCAGAGCAGGACCGGATGATATCTCGGCCTGCCTCTTGCAGGCCTGGACGCTCACGGCACCGTCCCCTTCTCCGACAACTCAGAATCACAGCCCAAAGACCCAGTTGATTCTTCACCTCTGGCGGCTACGCCGCGAACGTCGCGACTTCATGAGACAGCAGGATCTCTCCACTGCTCAGGTCTGGCCCAAGGCTGCTGAGCTGACGGAGGCTACCAAGGCCCTCAAGTCGCTGTGTGCTCAAAACAGGCAGCTCAAGATTCAACAGATTCTGCAAGAGGCGGAGCAGGCTGCCCAGAAGGGTCTCACGGCCGTCTACCAGGTGGTCAAGCGCCTTGCCCCCAAGACCGCTCGCAAACCCATCCTGTTCCGTGACAATCAGGGCAACCCTCTTACGACGCTCCAGGAAGCCCAAGCTCTGCAAGACTATTTTCGTGGTCTTTATCGCTCATCCTCACCCGAGTCCCTTCCTCCTGGTCAGACTTTCCCACCCTTTGAACTTGACGAGCTCACCACTGCCATTGCCCAGCTGCCCACTGGCAAAGCCCTGCCCTCATGGCTGGCGCCGGCTCCACTTTGGGCACTCGCTGCCACTGAGGTCGCCACCACGATTCACCCGGTGCTCTCGCAGTGGCTGGCAAACATGTCGGCGCCCATGCCGGGGCGATGGCCTCAATCCTCACTGTGTCTCCTCGCCAAGCCGACGAAGCCTCCGAAGTGTCCTGAGAATCTCAGGCCCATCGCTCTCCTGCACCCGGTGTCGAAATGCTTGGCGAAAATGGCGGCGGAACTGCTGCGCCCTACCGTACAGCATCTCGCCACTTGTCTTCCCCAGTTTGCATACATTGGGGGTCGCTCTGTGGAAGACTCCATAGAACGCGCATGCTCCCATTGCGCGGCGGTACGCGCTGTACTCGAAGCGCAGAAGTATAGCATTCACCGTCGTCGTCAGGGGCACACTGTCGGGAAGTGCAAAGGGGGAATCACACTTTCTCTAGATCTCTCTCGTGCGTTTGATTGCTTGCCACGAGACGTCTTGCATAGAGCACTCACCTGGGCGGCTGTGGAACCTGCTTTGATTGATCTCATCCTTCACATCCACTACCAAGCCACACTCAACATTACGCATAAGTCACACACTGTTGAAGTTGAGCTTCACTCAGGTGTGCGCCAAGGGTGCAGCTTGTCTCCTGCCTTGTGGAGCATCTTCATCTGTTATACTCTCCACCTCCTGAGCGATAGGATACCGCTCTCCTGTCTGACGGCCTTCTCTGATGATATCCTTGCACAATGGCAGGTTCATCAGCCGGAAAACATCCTTTGCATTTTGAAGGATATCGCTTTCATTATTGACACCCTTACCTCTCTCGGTATGTCAGTGAGTGACTCCAAAACAGTCATCCTGGACGGTCTCCGTGGCCCTGCCAAATCCAGGCTACTGCGCCCTTATCTGCAGCGCTCCAAAGACAAAGGCCCCTGTCTACGTGTGCCCTGTCTGGCAGGCCCGCTGGATCTACCCTTTCGCAAACAGCATCCCTACCTGGGCATTGTTCTCAGCTATGATTGCTTTGAGAAGTTGTCTCTGCAGGCCAGAATCAAACAGAGTTGGGCCAATTTCAGCCGCCTCTTCTCACTTTTGAGATCCAAGCATATCGTGCCCCAGCAGCGCCTGCAGCTGTGGACGGCCTGTGTCTTCTCTACTCTCAGGTACGGCCTCACGAGCACTGGTCTTCCCCCTCGGGGACCTGATATTATCCGGCAGGTTGTGGCCAAGCAGATCCGTCTTGTCCTCAAGTCTCCAAGCTGGATCACTCACGAAAAGACGGCCGCGCTCTATGCTAGATTTCACTTTCTGGACCCTGTTGATCAGATGGCTGCCCAAATGCAGTCTAGACATAGCCGGCCTTCTCTCAGTATTGAGGCCTTTGACACTCCAGAACGCCAACGTTGGCGCTCTGCCCTCCCGGCCTCCTTTACGCCTGACCCTCGTACTGATCGGCTGTCGCCTACCCAGTCACCGGAGGAGATGTCTCGTTGTGGCCTCGTCGACGTATCGGGTGTCATTGCGCGCACCTACACCTGCCCACACTGCCCGCAGACTTTTCCCACCTTAATTGCCCTTCGCACCCACTGCACCAAATCCCATGGGAAGCTTGCCCCGGATGTTCCCTCTCCGGTTGACCCAGAGACCCCTTCTGCCTCGACTTTACACACTACATCCGTTCGCCGGGAAGCTGCCGCTCCCCCCGCGGCTGCTGTTGTGTCTACCCCTTCTCCTGCTATTCCGCCCTCGCAGAAGGAGCTTCGTGCCAGGTTCATGCAGTTCGCTAAGGATGGCATGCCCCACTGTCTTCTCTGTGATCGCCAGTTTGCTGCATGGCCGCCTTTTCTGAACCATCACTACACCAACTCCTGCCCTGCTCAGGCTCATGATGGATCCCTCGTGAAGGACCCAGCAGCCCCTGCGGCCTCCTCCTCAGTCCTTGTTGCTGAATCAGTCCCTGATGCGACGCCTCAAACCTCCGACCTGGTCCCGCCAGTTGGGGTGGACACTCCGCCTCCCGTTGAGGTGCCCTCTCATCAGTTGCCGCTCCTTCAAAGATCTGACATCCGAACACTGGCCGGTCAGGAGGATTGGCAACCTCTGGCACACTACCTCCGCTCCCTGCACTCTGCTCATGGGCTGCGGCACTGCCCTGTTTGTCATCAATGGTTCACTCGCACACAGGACATTTTTCGGCATCTGAAGAGGCAGCATCCGCTCCCGGCCCTGCAAGAGTCAATGAGAGCTGATTGGCTTACAGCAAGGACGGCTGCCGCCCGCTCCCCTTGTAGCTGGTGCAGACTCGCTGTGACGTTTAAGACCCAGCACGCTGTCGCCTGCCCTGTTCTACAACAAACCATCACTTTGCGCATCCTCATTCGCCATGAGCTTGGCCTCCTCTCTTGCCCTGGGCAGCGGCCTCTCCCTGCAGGAGACACAACAACGGGAGGCTCAGGCCGAGCTGTTGCTCCTCCAATGCTGGGGAGAGGACAAGAAGGCGATGGTTCAGGACACGGCCAACAAGCGTTCGGAGATGGACCAAACGGAGGAGCCAGAGAGGGAGCGCGACGCGAAGTACTCCAGACCGGACTCCAAGGGTGGCTACGGCAGGGGCGGGAGAGGCAAGGGCAATCAGCCAAAGGCCAGTGGCCCTCGCAGACAGCCCTTCCGCCGCTCGGCGGAGACAGAGGCCGGGGCGCCGGAGGGCATGATGTGGCTTCTGGGCAAGCTCCTTCTTCGGCACGAGGATCAAATGGGCATCGACAAGACCCAAAACGGCTTTGTCATGTTCTTCAAGCGAGAGAGTGCTCTATCCCTGATTCCTCTCTTCGTGCAGAAGTCTCAGCACTGGAATGCCCTCAAGGAGCAGAAGCAGGAAAAGATGGACGAGATTGCTCTCCCTCTCAGAACCTTCCTGTTTCATACCCTGTTGGAGGCTCTGGTGAAGCGCATCAAGGATACCGTGCAGAACGACGAGCAGCTGAAGACGGCCACCACCCTCCAGGTGTTCCTTCCACGGGACGGCGACGCGGAGCTACAGGTGCCTTTTCTAAGCTACAACCAGGAGACCAAGACTCTGGCGCCTCGGCAGGATCTGCAGCCCCTTCCGGTCTCAACGATGCTCGAGAAGCTGCAGGTCTTACAGAAGCAGTGCCTTTGTCCCCTGGCCATCATGCGCTTCCACTCCACCCAACGGCTCAGCGGGCCTCTCCAGGGCCCCACCGTGCCCTTCCTGCTTCAGGTGGGTCACAGATCGCCGGAAGCGGCCGAGCTATATCTGAGCCTCCGCTCGCTGGCCAATTCAGCGATTTGGCAGTTGGTGGGAGGGTCCCTGCGCCCGGAGAAAATGGGTCGCTCCGCGCTGGCGACAGAACTTGCTCGCCGTCTGCAAGGGCCCTTCACTCAGCGTGCCTGTTCTCCCTCTCACCCCAACTGCTGCGTATACGCAATGCCTCCAACCACTGCTATGCTAATTCGATGCTGTGTTGTCTCCACTGGGCCAATCAGTTGCTCTGCTCAGCACCGGCTCATCCTCAGGTGATCTGGTCCGCGGCCATGCATTCAGTCATGCGGAGAATGACTACACAGGCGCCTGTCCCTGATCTCTGGTCTCTTCTCCAATGGGCCATCTTGCATTCCGGGTGGGCCCGGCCACACTCCCAACATGATGTTGCGGAATATCTCACCTTCTGTCGCAGGTTCGTCATTCCGGACCTGCTCTTGGGCAGGTGGCAGAACAGGCTTCTTCTTGCCGACTGCAACCCTCTTCGCTGCCAGGTGCGTGACTGTGGGGAAGCATGGCCTATGCTCCTTGCAACGCCACCCTCTCAGTGCGATACAGGCCCTAGTGGCAGAGTTACCATCCAACGGCTTATTCATGCATGGAAGGTCCAAGCTGCGGTTGGAGTCACTGCCCTCGAACGTGAGCCGAGCCTTTTAGTTTTGCAGGTCAATAGGTTCAGCCCTGATGCTATCGGTGCAAAGGATGCAACGAGTGTGCTGCCCGATCCTCGCATCTTGCTACCCTGCTTTCAGCATCGACCCACTCCGCATAATTCCGCCCTTCATGTGAGACACTGCGAATATCAGCTGATTGCAATCATTATGCACGAGGGTCCCGATGCAGCATCCGGTCATTACCGTGCGCTCCTTTGCACTTACCCTCCTGAATCGGAGCCCACTTTCTGGCTATGCGACGATTCAAAAGAGCCGACCACTCTCACCGAGTTGCCGCTACCAGCATTGACCACGGGCTATCTCTACTTCTACTGCCGCACTCAGCAGTCTTAGCATGCTCGGAACGTTATGGGCCATTCGTGGCAGGTCCCGATCATCGCTACGGCTGCTAGCACGTTTCTCACCGACGTGTGCAAATGCACATGGCTCACAGCAGCCGGGGTGGCTCCCTGTCATAACAGCCTCGCCAAGCGGACTTCCTCTGCAGCGTATGAAAGAAAGATGTATGTATGTATGTATGTATGTGTGTGTATGTGTATGTGTATGTGTATGTGCATGTGTATGTGTATGTGTATGTGCATGTGTATGTGTATGTGTATGCATACATATAAATAGGTACATCGTTTGGTATGCGTGTAAAGTGTGTGTAAGATGTGCGAATACAATTATATATGCAACACATAGATACACATACATGCGTACATACATGCATGCATGCATGCAAACTTACATATATATATATACACATATATTCAAGCTCAAGGCATTTTAGGCAGTTCGGGGGTCCTCAGTGTTTTCGGGGTCCTCGTATTGGGGTTTAGGGTTTAGGGTTCATGTTGGGTTGCTTATAGGCAGGATCTTATTGTCGAGGGTCCTTATACATTAGGCTCCTCTTGAGACTCCCAGGTCATGCTGATCTACTATGGTGTGATGGAGCATCTGGCACCTTGGTGCGAAAGAACTCAGCAAAAGTAATCTGGTTGCTTTTATAATCGCCGTTGTAGCCAGAGTAACCTGTTGCATCACCCAAAAAGTACGCGGAAAGTAGACCTAGCTTAGCAAGCCGGGGAACAAGTGGGGAACCTCTGGCCAGGAAGCTGCACAGATTTCACTGCAGATTCAGAGGTTGTGGCTTTGTCAGCCCGGGGCCCTCATAGGTGGATTGCCCAAGACTCGACCCTAAAGCCTAGACCCAAAAAGCCCAAACCTTGACACATAGAGAGTCGGGATCTCTGGGCAGAGTCGGGTCAAAGGATCTCTTCACGGATGTGGTGTTCACGGCCACAGCCTACGCGGCTGGCTACAAGATATTGGCTGCCGTCAGTTCGGCCCTTCGGCGGTGACAGGGCAGCGCCCAGAGAACCGGGGTGTTAGGAGTCATCGCTGCATTTGAGGGAAAGGAGGGACAATTTCCAGTCAAAGCTATCCCTTATGTTGCAGAGTCTTTCAGGCCGACAGGGCTGACGCTTTTTGTGCCCCTTGACTTCGTGAGCTCGGAGCTCCCCTCAACCAAACGCAACCCTGAAACGTTTGCGCCTACTACCACTATTGCTGATATTATTACTGTTACCATGATTATTACTGTTATTATTACAATTTCTATTGTAATTACTACCACTGTTAACTACTCGTACTATTGCCTTTTCTATCATTATTGTTATTATTATTGTTATAACTACTACTACTGTAATTACTATTACTATTAGTACTGCTAGTTGCTAATCACAGTTTACTAACTACTAATTGCTATTACTATTACTAACTACTAATTGCTATTACTATTACTATTACTATTACTATTACTATTACTATCACTATCACTATCACTATCACTATCACTATCACTCTTACTCTTACTCTTACTCTTACTCTTACTCTTACTCTTACTCTTACTCTTACTCTTACTCTTACTCTTACTCTTACTCTTACTCTTACTATTACTATTACTATTACTATTACTATTACTACTACTGCCCCGCGGAGCGAGGTTTCGTTGATTACTGCCGTGGTGGTGCAGCTGACCTGCTCCGGCGCCTCCGGTCTGGCGATGGTGGCTGCTTCGGCTCGGTTTAGGAAGGGTTTAGGGTTTAGGGTTTAGGGTTTAAGGTTCCTTTAAAAGGATCCACGAGGGTACTAAAAGGGATCTATAGGAGTTTAGGGTTTAGGTCACAACTCCCTCAAGCCCGTAAACCCTTAAAGCCCCTAAACCCTAAAGACCGAACATGAGGGAAACATAGACCCATGTTTATGCGGTCTTACGGACCCCTGCAGTGTCATGATGGTTCATCCTATCAGCACTTCCGAACTTCCTGTGGCACTCATCGCCGGAGTTCAGGAAGAACAGCGGGAATGTGCAGAACTCGAATCCGTCGAACGGTGCTCGCACTTCTTCGGAACAGAGGGAACAACCATCATATTTGCAGGCATGTATGCATGTATGTACCTATGTACATATTTATGTATGTACGTCTATATGTATGTACATCAAATCATCCATCCATCCATCCATCCATGCATCCATCCATACATTCGCTCATCCATACATCCGTACATTCTACACATGCGTGCATGCATGCATACGTGCATACATCCATACTACATCCTTTCATTCACTCATCCTTACATCCATCAGCCCAGACATGCATGCATGCAAATATCTTCAAGATATCTTTTTATTTGTGTATCTGTCTATCTCTTTATCTCTCTATCTACCTATCTATCCATGATGCAGATATGTGCACCTTTGACTTGTTTGCATACATGGTTCATATCCATGCACGCATATGATCCTAATGTTGGCCCTGGCATTGACTGAGGTTAAGGGCCGCAATGTCTACATCCCCCTCGTCCAGGTGACCGCAACGGTTTTAGCATGGAGGTTCGCAAAGTCTTCGGGGTGTTCAGTGTTCGGGATGTCAGGCGTCAGGTTTTGGGGTTCAGGGCTAAACCCTAAAACCCTATAGGGTTCTGAGTTGAGGGTTTAGGGTTTTCGGGTTTGCGTTTGGCGATGCAGCTGAGCTCTGGGTGAAATCAGGGAAGCATGCAAGGAGAGCGGCAGGCTGTAGGATCGGTGGGCATCTGTCATAGGAGGCCACAAGGGGTTCCCTTTAAAGGGTTCCTATAAGGATTGCTATAAGGGTGCTAGAAGGGATCTATAATATAAGGGTACTAGAAGGGGTTCTATAGTGTAGGAGGCCAAAAGGGGGTTTAGCTTATGGGGGTTTAGTAGGGATTAGGGTTCCCACAAGAGGGCTCAGATTAAGGAATCCCTACCCCAAGAATCTTCCCCCCCCCCTTAAATCCCTAAACCCTAAACCCTAAGCCCTAAGCCCCCAACCCTGAACCCTAACCCGTAAAGCCCTAAACCCCTATGCTCCTAAAGCCCTGTTGGCCTCCCAGCAATCTGCCAATGGTGCGCCTTATCAAAATAGAGAATACATAGGGGCTTAACTTAAGCAACAACCAATACTATTTTGCACGTTCCTTATTTTACTATGGTATAGTATGCCCCAAAACCCTGTCCTAATCATGTTGGCCCCTATGTTGCACATCTTCTGTCCAGCAAAAACCCTCTAGAAGTCGTCCCGGACGCCAGATGGGAGGTTCCGAAAAGTAGGGGTACCTTGTTTTGGGGTCCATATAGTACGGCTATTCTTAAGGGTACTATATCTTAGGGTCCCCCATTCTTCGGAAACTCCCAGATCTCAAACCACCGACTGCAAGCCTAAGCCGAACACCCTTAACCCTAAACCTTAAACCCTTAAACCCCAAACCCCTAAACCCTATACCCCTGAACCCCTAAACCCAGGCCCCGGGCCCTAAAATCCCTACAACCCCCCCCTGGTAGTTGCCTACCGACAAGCTCATGCCCCGAGAGCCCAATACCCCTTGATTAAGCAATATAACTTAAATCATAAGGGGCTTCATATTATGATTTAAGCTATATTCCGTAATTAAGGGGTATTGGGCTCTCTGGGAAGAACGATGGAGGCCACCGATATATTTTGTAGTTCCTGGCTGAGGATCCTTGCTATAAACTGCGTTTTGTTGCTGATCGATGGATGTTATTGCTAGTGCTACTGCTATCTTCATTCGTAATTGGTAGGTTACGGCCACTTGGAGCACAACAACAACAACAACAACTACTACTACTACTACTACTACTACTACTACTACTACTACTACTACTGCTACTGCTGCTACTGCTACTGCTGCTGCTACTGCTACTGCTATTGCTACAACTACTACAATGAGGATTATGATTAGTAGTCTTCTTAGGATGCGTCTTACTTACTCTTCCTTCTCTTGGCGTCAGTGTTGCTTGTTTACAGCCCTAAACCCGAAACCCCAAGCCCTTATAGAGGCTCTGGAGGAGCCCGGGAGCAGTGAGGTTAGCAGTGGAACATAATCCTAAACCCTCCGTCAACCCTCAAAGCCGCTTGAGGGTTTGGGGTTTAGGGGTTTAGGCGCATTTAAGGGGTTCAGGGGCTTAGGTTTACCCTCAGCCCCCAACCCAAACCTTTAGAGTAAACTAAACCCGAAACCGATCCCCCAACCCCTTACCCCAAACCCTAAACCGAAAACCCTAATCAACCTAAACCCCAAACCCTGGACCTTGAACGCCAACTCACAGCACTATTAAATTATTAGATTTTTACAGGAGCCGTTTCAAGGAACCCGAAACGCTTGTAAAACTGTCTGAGAACCCTTGTAATTCAAAGAGACATACGGAAAGCTCATAAAGAGCCTGTAAACATGAGTTTTCTTGTATACCCTAAACCCTAAACCCTCTAAGAAGGGTTTTCTTGTATCAGAGGTGTGGATGGCCTGCGAGCTGCAGGGCATGGCTTGGCTGGGCCAAACCACCTACGTCGCACGCTTCGGCAGCCTGCTTTGAAGGGTATAATAGGGAGGAACTATAAGGTTTCCTTTAAAGGGTACTATAAAGGTTCCTTTAAAGGGTACGATAAGGGTTCCTTTAATGACAGGTCAAACAAGGGTCTTAAGTCTTAAGGGGTGTCCGAGGATTCTAAACAGGTTGTGGGAGGGTTTCGGGGGTTGAGGAGTGTAGGAAGTTGAGGGTTTAGGGATCGTGAGCTTAGGGTTTTGAGTTTTGCGGTTTTAGGTTGCGCATTTTTTAGGGTTCAGAGTGGGGGGTGGGGTTTGGGATTTCGGGTTACATGTGCAAGCGATGGGAGACTGGCCGAGGTTTCAGGCGCAACTTGTTCTTTGTAGGGCCAGGGCGTTGCGTTTGGCTCCGGGGCATGCGAGCTTGGCAGGTTGCCGTATAGGAAACTCCAGAAAGTTGGAATATGGATTAGTGGTAGGATCCCCTATAATTTACCTTAAAGGGGTTACGATAATCATATTCCAACTTTCTGGCTTCTACTGTAAGTGATGGACGGAAGCTTCTGAAGAGAGCATGCCAAGAACCGATGTACTATAAGGTCTAGGGCTTAGGGCTTGCGGTGCAGGTTTGGTAGTTTTAAAGGCAACTATAAGGTTTTGGGTTTATAGGGTTTAGGGCTTAGGGTGGGTAGTTTTAAAGAGAATGCCAAGGAAAGGGCGACAAGGTCTTCGATATGGGCCTTGCCAGCAATCGGCACTTCGCGACGATCATCTGCGAGCAGTTGCCGCAGATGGTGCCTGGAGGGCATGCCAGTTTAGAGCTTCGGATCTTGCGTGCGTCTGGTTCCAGGGGAGAATTTTTTTACTCTGTCAGTTCCAGTCTCTCACAGCTTGGGCACTTGGGTCAGCCGGCCGACGGAGAGCAGAACCAACGAAGAGTTGACATGAGTGGATGTTTCGTTGTTTCTGCTGGGGCACCGCCTTCTTGTCACAGTTTTCAGCTTTTCTTTAGGGGTGCAAAGTTTGCCGAATTGTTCACCGAGATTCTGCAATCGATCTACTTCCGCTTGACCCTGGAAGACCTCACCCTACAGGCCTGCAGGGTCTCTCGCCCATGCTTTAAAAACCAGATGGTTGTGTGTACAATATGTGTCTATATACATAAAAAATGTGTGTTTACAAATACACACATACACACATGTTTTATTTGTCGTTATTTATACCTTCATCTTTGTCTTTATGGTTATCTATGCCTCGTATCATTATCTTTGACATTTATCTTCGTCTTTATCTTTACTGTGATTGCTTTGTCAAGCTTTATCTTATCTTAACCTGTATCTATATGTATGGGATTGTATGGGTATAGCTACAGCAAAAGCTATATTTGTTCTTATATGTATCTATATCTGCTCGTGTATCGGGCGACTGCTGGGTAGAAGTGCTGTGAGGCTTCGGTCGAATGGTTGCGCAGGTGTTTCGCGTGTGATCTTTGGGTATTTTCACATGCATGCGCACAGGTGGAGAAGCCGGGACGGGCAGATGCAAGCATGGATGAGAGCATGTAAGTGCCTCCCTTCCCCTCGCTCGAAAAGCCTGCTTGCATGCAGGCCTACCTGTGTGCCAATGTAATGTAAGCACGTACATGCGGCATACAGACCGGCATGCAGACATCCGAAAAGGAAAATGGTTCTACCGCATGCAGGCGCTCACGTTCATAATTGATCGTTTCCTTCTTGTGCAAAATCCTAAGTGTGCTGATGCGGACAACGTTTGTTGTTCCTCCTCATTTATAGGCCATCTTTTGGCGAGTACCGTGCAGAAGCATCTGTGCTCAGCAGGACACTGCCTGGGTTTCTGGATATATCTGCTGGAGAACGAGAGTGGATCTAGTCAAGTTTATTCACAAAAAGGGGGGTAGGGGGGGGCCTTAATGCCCACAATAATAAGGAAGTATAGTCCCCTAGCCCCCCACCCCCCCTACCCCCCTAAGGGTCCCTATGCTTTATTGACACATTTGCATGCATGGCAGCAAATGGGAGTTAGGATTAGGGGGACCCTTGGGGATATAGACCCTTTCAATAAGGCCCCTTTCAAGAGCCAGAAGTAGGGTTCAGAAGGGGTACCCCTTAAGGGGTCCTTTTAAGAGCCAGAAGTAGGGTTCAGAAGGGGTACCCTTTAAGGGGTCTCCCTAATAATACTACCCTAAACCCTAAACCCTAAACCGTAAACCCTAAACCCTATAAACCCTAAACCTTAAACCCTAAACCCTAATAATACTACCTAGCAAACCTGCAGGCCCGCGTCCAGCAGTGGGCCTCTGTCGCCATTTCAATAGGCCTGCGGGTAGCGTCTCAAGGGTTGGGGTTTGAGGTTTTGAATTTGGGGTCCAGGGTTTAGGGTTTCAGGGCTTGGGGTTTGGGGTTTTGAATTTGGGGTCCAGGGTTTAGGGTTTCAGGGCTTTGGGGTTGAGGGTTTTGAATTTGGGGTCCAGGGTTTAGGGTTTCAGGGCTTGGGGTTTGGGGTTTTGAATTTGGGGTCCAGGGTTTAGGGTTTCAGGGCTTTGGGGTTTAGGGTTTCGCCGTCAAATGGGTAGTTGTCAAAATTATGGTCCCTTTTTAAGTCCCCTAAATATTAGGTGCCATATTATATTAAGGACCCAAAAACGGACCCTAATTCTGACAACCACTCAAATGTGCGGCCTTGACCTGCGGATCGGGAGCGTGAGCACGGCAAGCACGAGCAGCGATGTCTTGAGAGATTGCGGAGTAGAGGTTTTAAGCTGGAGAATCCTTTTGTTTAGGCTACTACTGTATATCAGGGTCCCCTGTTTTCGGAAACTCCCACAAGTTCAATCTTCGTGTCCGAATTAGCCGGACGAAGTTTCGGCACAGCGGGCTCTTGCGTAGCATTGGTGCCCTAAGCCCTAAACCTAAACCCTCAAAGAGCCCTCAAAGAACCCTCAACCCTGAACCCAATGCGGCTGCATCCAGCATGGTGGCGGAGTTTTCGCTCAACCCTCCGCCAGGAGTCATGCTGAACAATGCCCGGCAGGACCCTGCGGTTTAGGGTTTAGTCTTCAGGATTTAGGGTTCAGGGTTTGGGCTTTAGGATTCAGGGTTTGAGGTTTCTGGTCTTCGACGCCAGACTGTTTCCAAGGATTGTGTCATCGGGCTGGAAAGTGCTCACTGTCAGCAGCTTGGATCAGGACGGTTTAGGGTTTAGGGCACAGGTCCGACCGTGACCAAAGCAACAAGCTAGGACATGCTTCGAATCTCAGAGGGATGAAGATTTGCAGGAAACTAAGCTTAAAGTCTTAAACTACACAAAGCCTGGATCCCGTGGACTCCCTAAAACCGAAGAGGCAGCGCCCGTTTCCCGGAGGAGGCGTTTCACCCGACACGAAGAGCCACCCAAATCCTGCAAGCCTAGACCCCTAAAGCTTCGAGAGCCTAGTCCTAGGCCCTAAACCCTAAACCAAGATTTCGAAACCCAAACCATCCAGCATTCCTGCTACATAACCCTAAACCCGTACCCAAAAGGCCCTCCCTTCCAAGCCCCATCAGAACCCCATAAGAGAGCTAGAGGGACTCGTAAAGCTGTGGCTTCCCAGGAGGGCTGTCTCTTCTTTACGCCTTGCCTGCTCGTCGCCGTTGCCGTCATCGTGCTCATGTGGGGGGTTTAGGTGTTGAGGGTTCATGGGATTAGTATTAGTAGGGCTTACAGTTTAGGGTTCTGAGAACAAAGGTTGCTTCGCATGAGCGGCAATAAGAGGTGACGTTTGCGAATTTGCGATCCGGCGCTCGGTCGGTGCAGGTTTAGGGTTTAAGGTGTAGGAAACCACATTATGGAAGGCACCTGTACAAAAAAGTTCGATGAACGCATCTAAGCCGCTTACAAAGCACTTTCTCCAAAATTTTTCGGCCCTGGCAGATTCCCCGCAGAGCTCGTGGATTCGGAGATTGTTTGGGTCTGAGAAGCAGTGGCTCTGCCTTGCGCTTTAACTCGGCTTTCAAATTCATCGGCCCTTTTGCTTCCGGAGTTGCCAAAGGGACGCGCAGTTGTACACCCTGGTTTAAGGTTCAGGGCTCTAATTTCCTTGTTTTGGGGGTCTCCTTGGCAACTCCAGCCTTGGGTCTCGATTTGATCCCTCTTTGCAGCCGGTCCCGGCAAGAAGTACCACAAACCCTACCCTACCCTACGACTACCCTACCCTCCCTACCCTACCCTACTACCCTGCCCTACACTACCCTACCTCCTACCTCCTACCTCCTACCTCCTACCTCCTACCTCCTACCTCCTACCTCCTACCTCCTACCTCCTACCTCCTACCTCCTACCTCCTACCTCCTACCCGACCCGACCCTACCCTACCCTACCCTACCCTACTACTACCCTCCACTCTCCGCCTCGCAGAACTCCTCGAGTGAATCTGAGGCCTACCCAAAGAGCCCAAGACTGTCCAAGACTTCTTCATGGTTGAAGGAGAAACCGCGTTGAGATAGAGGTTAGAACCCCTGAACCCTAAACCCTAAACCCTTTCTAGAGCCTTTTCTGAAACCCCTGCGAAGCGGTGCTTGGGCTCTCTGGGTAATCACAGGCAGCTCGTCTCAACGATCCGAAGGTGCCCAAAGCATGGGCAGCCGTCAAGTTGAGAAGCTCTGTCCGCTGCAAAAAGCGTGGAGGTCTCAGGTGCCTTTGGAGTTTCCGGGTTCAGGGCTCGGTCCTAGCGACTCCTATGTTTGAGGTGTTGCTCCTGAAACTCCACGACCCCTTGTGTGGCCAGCTGCAGGAAGGGCTCCCAGGGCAGAAATCTTCAAAGGGATGCCGGCAGCTTGCACCAAGCCCACGCCCACACTCTCTTACTCCCTCTCAGGAAAGCTTCATCAAGAGGTCAAAGCACAACAGCTTCGCATAACTCAACAAGCCTCAGACCCTCCTGACACCCTCGGGCCAGCATCACAGAGCCCATGGCGGCACCCATCCTGGCGCAACAGGCCCTGTGCTTGGCGTGGCTTCGGGAACCCTGAAGTAACCCTTAAAGGGGACCCTATCATCGAACGCTATGGTACCCCTTCAAGGAAGCCTCACAGCAACCCCTAAAGGGAGCCCTGAATTACGCCACCCCCGCCTTTGGTTCCGAACTGAGGGGAACCGGCAATCTCTCACGTGGTCAGGCCTCGCCCGTCGATGACGTCCTGGCTGCCCTTCAGAGACTGAGCCTCAGAAAGACGTCCCTGGGGCCTTGTGGTAGGTAAAGGGTTTGATTGATTTTTTTTTGATGCTTTTGCATTTTTTCGGGCTTTCTAAGGTCTCTTTATGTCTCTTTGGAAGGATTCAGGATTCTAGAAGGTTCGTGGGGATCTAGTGTGTCAGTTATAAGTGCTGTGAAGCCAGTCAAGGTACCTATCGCCAATACGTGTAACTGCAAGGTTCAGGGCTTCTGCTGCTATGGTGGCTAAGGGTCGGAGTACATGCCCCGGGCTTTATCGACTTTGGCTTTCAGGGTTTGCAGGGTTTCGGATCTTGTGCGGTGGTACGGAGATTCAGACGCCTTCACTTACCTTTGGTTAGTAGGGAATGGAGGAATGGGTACAACTATAATTACTATTACTAACATTCTTCCATTCCCTACTAACCAAAGGTAAGTTCAAGGCCGCAGAAGCTTGCTGGGGGCCTCTGTCTCTTGCGCTTCGGAAGTTTCGCGCTCGACGATGCCGCATTGGGGCTTCGGCCTGGATGCTTCTGACACAAGCCCTGAGTTTAGGGTTTAGGGTTTAGGGTTTACCCTAAACCCTAAACCTAAACAGGTCTTAGACCGAAGGCTTACGCCCCCAAACGGCCGTCGAATCTGTCCTAAACCCTAAAACCGGGAACCCGAAACCTGAAGCTCGCAGAGAACCCCTAAGGAACCTTCAACAAGCTGTAGAGTGTTATTAGCATCATTGTGACTATTATCACTACTATGATTATTATTATCACTATTATTATTTTTATAGTTATTATTATTATAGTTATTATTATTTTTATAGTTATTATTATTATAGTTATTATTATTATTGTTATTATTATTATGACTCTTGTTACTACTATTTTTGGGTTTTTTATTATTGCTACTACAGGGCTCTTTTCGGAACTCCGGAAGCTGCTTGCGAGGTCCGCGGACAGCCGTGAAGATCTGGGCCCTGATAAAAATTGCGCAGCTGCCGCCACTTAGGGCTCTAGGGTTTAGGGTTTAGGGTTTAGGGGTTTAGGGGTTTTAGGGTTTAGGGTTCAGGGCTTTAGGGTTCAGGGCGGGTTTCTAGAGTTGGGCGGTTGAGGGCTCTACGATTTGAGGTTTAGCCTTTTTGAAGTTCGGGGTTTCGGCCATGGGCTTTACAGGATTTCTGTCTTGCGTTTGTCGGAGTGGTTGGGGAAGAAAGGCTGGTTCAGGCTCGATCCCGCTTGAAATCCTAACATCCCAACCCCCAAACCCGTCCAGCAGCCCTACTTTCAAAGCGGTCCTATAATTGTAATCCGAATTCTTGCAAAGATTCCTCTCACAAGGAAGGGTTCCTTCTTCGGGTTTTCGGGTTATTGGTTCAGGGCAGAAAGGGTACTTAAAGGATCGTTGGACTTAGTAACTAGGGTTATAATTAGGGTATCTATACTTATAACCCCAATTAAGGTACTTATAACCTTACTTACTAAGTCCCATGATCCTCCAAGTAGTGGGGGTTATTGTGGGGTTTTGGGGGGCATGGAACTTCCAAGGATCCCTCGATTCGGTTGCCGCTCATCAGCGAGTCTGGAGGAGTTTTTTTGGAACTGGCAATGAGCCCCGCAAATTACGCCGAAGCCCAAAAAAGCGTCAGACTACGTGGAATCCAACTTTTCGCGGGGGTTCCCAACAGTTGGTTGTCGCAGCCCAATCCCACATCCCCTTTGCAACCGACGCTTATTCTGCGAGCGTCTTGAAGCGCTCAGAGCCAGGCCCAATTCGGCGCTGCGCGCGCCGCGCAGTTTCAGCTCGACTTGCAGGTACGCCTAGAGTCGGGTTGAGCGCTTTCCTTGCAGACAAGCTACGTAGCTGCGACATGCCATTTCTGTGAATTCAGAATTGGGGGCTCGACTGATGGTTTGAGCGCAGTGGCAATGTTGAAAGCCGCAAAGAACCCCCCGCAATTCCTCGAGCTTGAAGAAAGAGAAGCCTTTTGCCTGCGCTGTCAGTTAGGGTCTCGGGTTCGGGTTTTAGGGTCATTCCCAGGAAGAAGTAGAAGCTTTGCATAGCAAGCGGTGCCACAGGGACTCGGCAGAATATCGTAAAGTGCAGAGTGGGCAACCGTTGTGCCTATTCTGGTCCAGAAATTCTCTCAAAAAGTTGCAGAACTGCGAAGGTTTGGCGCTCTCTTTCCCGGTGCTTCTGTTTGCAGGTTTCCAGGCCAGAAACCAAGCTTCCTCAAGCCCTAGACCCTCAACCCTAGCCAGAATGTCAGAAGAAGCGCTGTCACAGATGTTAGAGCGTAGATTGGCGTAGATTTCTCTGAAACAGGTCGCGCCCCTTCTAGACGATGCCAGCATGGAGGTGCAAGAGCAGGCAGCCTCCCCAAGTTCTCCAACGCCGTCGAACTAGGGTTATAAATAAAGTAACTATACTTATAATTACTTATAACATAAGGTAACTATACTCATAATTACTTATAACATAAGGTAACTGTACTTATAATTACTTATAATATAAGGTAACTATACTTATAATTACTTATAACCCCAATGGTTCATGATTTGAGGCTCTCCGCTTTAACGCGGAGCTACGAGGCATCCCTTTCCTTTCTCGGAATTCCTGTCGGTTTCGGGTTTAGGGTTTAGGGCAGCATGCCGTTTCCCAGGGAAGACCCCCCGGTAGTCGGGCTTGGAATGCCCTGTCCAATGCTTTGAACTTGACAGAACAGTTGTGGGCTTCGTGCGGCTTCTCCTGAGACTTTGCGACGTTCACAAGAGACGGAAGGTGAAGCATTCCAAGGTTCCAGGTCGCTTGGGTGAAGCTTCCGGGATTTTCTGCGGGGTGGCCTTGAGGTTTCGTAGGGTTTAGGGTTCAGGGTTTAGGGTTCAGGATTTAGGGTTCAGGGTTTAGGGTTTAGGGTTCAGGATTTAAGGTTTAGGGTTATTCGGAGAGTTGTCGTGTTGCGGTGCGGCTGCAAATGGTGTGTTTGGCAGCTGCAAGAGTGCAACGGAAGGAGTATGGCGATTCACGTAGACATTGTAGGGCCAGAGTCTCCTAGACCTCCTAGAAAGCAATGTCGTCCCAGTTTTCGAATCCATCGAAAGCAGGAGCCTTCTGGCGTTTGCCAAGAAATCTAATCAGCTCCAACCCAAAGATCTAAAAACCCTTACCGTCCCAAGACCCTCAACGGTAAACGCGAGTCTAAACCCTATATAGTGAACCCCAGAAAGTTGGAACATAAATTTAGGATGAATAGTGCTGGGATTCCCTCTACTTCACCTTAAGGGCATGAGGGCAATGATGCTCCAACTTTCTGGCTCCTACTGTAAGCCCTAAACTTTAGCAGCTCGAGACGCTGGGCCAGGTGCTGCGGACCTTGAGCTACCAAGGCAGCGCTTAGTCTCGGGGCCTTCAGAGTACGAAAGGTTTTCAGGGTATGTCAAGGTATCGTAGAAGCCACAAAGTTGGAATATGGCTTTGGGAGGATTAGTGCGAGGATCCCCTATACTTCACCTCAAGGGCATGAGGATAATGATGTTCCAACTTTCTGGCTTCGACTATATGTGCAGCAAGGAACTGAGGCACACCCAGATATGCCATAAAATCTGAACATGTTCTTCCGGTGAGGTACACCCAGATAAAATGTCCATGTGTATCCGGACTATAGTGGGACAGTCTAGTATCTTCATTTGTGCAAGGACTGCGTTGACCCCTCAACCGACCGTCTCCCCAGCTTTCCCAAAGGGGATAACCCTGGTAGTGTTGGGTAGCACGGTGGAAGGAGCGAGGGTCAACTCCCCAAGGGTCTTTTAAAGGGTATGCTTGAGGTTTCTTTAGAGGGGTCCTTGTTAATAGCTTTCTATACAAGCAAGGATGTCTCTTTGAGGTTTTTTAGAGGGTCCTTGTTAATAGCTTCCTATACAAGCGGTCAGGACCCATGAGGCCTTGAGCTAAGCACCAACGTCACCTGGTCCCCTGCGAGGTGATCGCGGGGCACGCCACTGTTCCTCGGCCCAGTTACGTCCGGCAGCCTCTCTATAATGCCTTAAATCCAAGCACGGCCAAAAACCGTCAAGCCATAATCTCTCATACCCTTAACCCTACACACTAAACCCAGGATACGGCTAGGGAAGACTTGCTCTTGTGTGTTTCCAGCAGCTGTACGAACTGACATGTTTCGCGAACGAGAAGATGACTGACTGTGACTGAGTGAGCAAGTCCTCCGTCTGTCTTGCCTACCCTACCCTACCCTGGCCTCCCCTCCCCTCCCCCACCCTACCCTACCCGACCCTACCCTACCTTGCTTCCTCCTGGGGGGCGGCCCCGATTGCTGGACTCCGAACCCAGGCAACAGCATGGCCAGGAAGATCCGGAGCCCGGTGAAATCGGCACCGCGGCATTCACAGGCTAAGGGCCACTTTAAGGGTTTAGGGGTTCCGGGGCGCTTTCTGCGTGTCTTGGCTTACCTTTGGTTAGTAGGGAATGGAGGAATGGGGTACAATTATAACTGCTATTACTACCATTTTTCCGTTCCCTACTAACCGGGACAGCGTTTTTCCGAGTTTTCGAGCTTCAGGACGGGTAGGTTGGAAGAGCTTCTTTTGATCGTCTTTCCTTGACCGGTGGCTCCGATTCTTCGGGAAAGATTATCTGGGAGTTTCCGAAAATAGGGGTACCGTATTTGGGGGTCCTTACAAAAAGGATCCTACCATTTAGGGTACCATATTAGGGTCCCCTATTTTAGGAAACTCCCATCTTGTTTGGGAAAGATCATCCCGTGGTGTTCGCCCTTTCTCCGAGCTCTTGGGGTGCTGGCAGAGAAACCCCAGAAGCGTGCAGCGGCACATGCCCCCCACACCCCTGTAACCGTAAGTCCTAAAACACAAGAGCCTTCGACCGGACAATCTGTGTCGCCCTTGCAGAAAGCCTTAGAGTAGCTCGTATAGCAACAAGTTTGGCAGCACTTATACAAGCCCTGATAGGCAAACCGCACAAACCCTAAGCCTTCAAAGGAGCCTTAAACCCAAAACCCTAAGCCCTAAAAGCCCGAGACCCTAAACCCTAGACCCTCAAACCCGAGACCCTAAACCCCAAAACCCGAGACCCTACTTAAAGGATCATGGGACTTAGTAACTAGGGTTATAACTAGGGAAACTACACTTATAACCCCAATTAAGGTACCTATAACCTTACTTACTAAGTCCCATGATCCTCCAAGTAAGTCCCGAGGTGAAGTTGGCGGCCCTGCGAGCGTTTGGCAACCTCGGCACGCTGGCCTCGGCGCTTCCCGGATAAAGGTTGGTCCGGTTTAGGGTTTAGGGTTTAGGGAGTCTTTCAGGGACCTCCTTTAAGGGGTCCCCTTTAAGGGGCTCCTTTAACTGGTTCCTTTACGCTGTTCCGTTAAGGGTGGAACCGCTCTCTTGCTCCCCAGGTGTCGCACCCCCACGGTACTTTCATCGATCCCGTACAAAAGCCATTCCTGAAATGAAAACCATAGGAGCCCATTAGAACCATCAGTGTAGCACCCGCAATAGCCCCAGAAGCAAAAACCGCCGCTTGAAAACTTTTTCGGGTTCCCTGAACCTAAACCGCTAAACCCCTAAACCCTAAACCCCAAACCCCTAAACCCCAAACCCCTATACCCTACACCCCAAACCCCAAAACCCCCAGGTTCGGTGGTGACATCCTGAGCTGCCTGGATCAGAAGGCCGTGAAGCTTCGAACACTTCGGAGACTTCACAAGGGCATTCTTGTTTCGTCCTAGGGACCCTTAGGGGGAGCGGGGAGGGGGGGTAGGGGGCCCGTAGTACCTAGCATAAGGACTTAAGAAGGCCTATTTAAGGAAGTATCGTCCCCTACCCTCCTCCTCCCGATCCCCCCAAGGGTCCCTATGATTCAGTGCCCCTGAAGGATGAAGGGTTTAGGTTTGGAGCCAATTCCTTAAACTTGCACCGAGCAATCCTGAACCTGCAACTCCGAACCCCTGGACTTCAAGGCTTAAAACCTGCAAACCCTAAACCTTAGACCCAAACCCTTAGACCCGAAACGGTAAAACGCAAATCCCAAAGCCTCTCAACCCTAAACTTTTCAGGATCCGGAAGTCGAGGCAGAAGCGTGCCTGGCCTTAGGGAAGATGAAGGCCTCAAAGAGTCTGCAAATTTGCATTTAGGGTTTAGGGTTCAGGGTTTAGGGTTTGGGGCTTTAGGGAGTCTGCAAATTTGGAGCTGCGGGTCGTGGTGGGTCTAGGGTTTGGGCTTGTGGGCTTGGGTGATGTTTGGGCACGGTTTTGGGCTCCGGATTCAAGGGTTTCGGGCAGTGAGATTCAACATTCAGCGTTGAGCTGCTTTCCGGATAAAGCCTAAACCCTAAACCCCTAAACCCTAAACCCTCAACCCCTAAACCCGAAACCCTAAACTAAACCCTTCTTTGGCTTGAGAGCTTTCTGTGGTTGCCGGGCTCCAGACCTTGCGGAGCACTGTTAACGCACTACAGGTTTAAGGCGGGGATTTCGGGTTTAGGGTTTAGGATTTCGGGTTTAAACTTCAGGGTTCAGGGGCTTTGGGTTTAAGGTTGTTTGGCGGGTCTATGCTCGAGGGTTTTGGGGCTCAGGCGTTTGGGGTTGAGGCTACTGCTGTGATTCTTGCGAGGCTTGTGTTGAGACTCGTCTTTATGCTGGGGTGTTTGCTTACTTGAGTTTCTCTAGCAAGTCCGCGTATCGTGGGGCTTTTACGTGAAGGGGCTTCGGGGTTGCGAGATGCGCTTTGGAGGGTGCTTGAGGCATGATTGGGTTCTGACGCCATTTCGGCATGTGTTGCGTGAGTGTGGCCTGAATGGCTTGGCTTGAGGTGTAGAAACGTTCATCGGCTCTCCGAGATCGGGCCTAGACAAACATGGTTTTCAGCAGCTGTGCAAACCTAAACCCTGAACCCCTAAACCCTAAACGTGATGACAGCATCGGGGGTGAGAGGAATTGGAAGTTCTTTACAATCACAGTGCTGTCATCAGCGATACATTCCATGGTCCCCCTGGTTTGAACCTTCAATTTTTTGTGGGGTTTAGATGGGGATACGGGATAAAAAACACCCTGAGGAATATTCTTGGTAATTATGTCGGCCCTTACGTTACCATATGGCAGCCTGACAGTACCCTGATGGTGCACCTATGCCCTCATTGTACCCTTAAACTGCCCTTATAGTAACCCCTAAAGTAAGATCTTGCCAGCTCACGACTTCGGGCAGCAAAGTCGCCGCGAAGCTCAGAAGATGCTCGGCAGCGCTGGCCAGCCGTTTGGGTGCGGTGCACTTTAGAGTTCAGGGCTTAGTGAGTTTAGGGTTTCGGATTTCAGGTTTTGTGATTTAGGGTATAAGGTTTAGCGTTTATGCCCAGCTTGCCTTTAGGTGCATGTGGGCCGGTCGTTTATTGTTTGTGCGCGGAGGTACGCTTCGGAGTTCTTTGCCCGTGGCCGCTAACCTTTCTGAAGCATGAACTAGGATGCCCAGTAGTACCCTGATTCCCTTTTTTGTAAGTACTCTTAGGTTCCTTATAAAGTTACCCAATACCAAACAGGGAGCCCTTTTTTCCTAGGTTACTGGGCATCCTAGTTAAAACTTGTTGTGTCGCTGACAGGCGGTTCCTAAGACTGAACCGGTTTATTGCCTTTGAGCCAACAACACGTGCACAGATGCTAGCAGCGTGCGGCAGGCATGCCTTCCTGTTGACCCGACGCCCATGATTGCGAAGCCACGGCCGAAATCCGCGGGTGAAAGTCACCAAGCTCCGCAACGTCCTGCTGAACATGCGTCCGCATGACTAGAAGGAAGCAGCCGCCCCTTTCTCTTGGAAGCACGTACTCCAGGGAGTCTCAGGCATACTTCCGAGTTGCCATGTAGACTAACCCCTAAATCCTGAACTCACACAACGAATTCTAAGCCCTCAGCTCCAAATCCTAAATCCTTTATCCTGAGGACTAGACTAGACTCTGCATCACCCTGGTATTTGCGCATCCGGATTCGTGATTCCGTCAGCATAGGCGACAAAGCTGTGAGTATGCAACACAGGGTCTGCACCATGCAGGGCAAAAGATCTGTGGACTGCGGATTGGTTAGAACTATGGTTATCTTACTTACTACATAGAACTAACCATGAACCTCCAAGTAAGCCCTACCCAGAGAGCACAATACCCCTTAGTTAAGGAATATTTTAGGGTTTGCGGAATGGCCATCCTTTTTTGTCAATTTCTAAGGAGAAAAGGAGGGACCCTTAATGGGGACCCCTACCCTATAATGGGCTCTATAATGGGTATATCATAGCTATATCAAGGGTATATACCTAGGGGTCCTTATTAAGGGTCCCTCCTTTTACCCTTGGACAATTTTTCCGACCTAAGACCTGGAAGGCTTGGATACAAAGGCTCCGAAACCCCGAGCCTTAGACAGCGCCCAAGAGCGCAATGCCTGAACCTCTCAGCCGTAAACTGAGCTCCAACCTTAAACCCGAAGCTCTTGATCCGAAGCCTTGATCCCTAAACCAACAGAACTCCCTAAACCCTAAACCCTGCACTTTAAAACAACCCTAAACCCTAACCGTATCCTACAGTAACATCAGTCCGAGCCCTTGTATCATGGGGTCACTGGGGAACCTAGTAATGACTTGAGGCCCAGATGCCGAAGTTGTGGCCGCAGCCTGTGGCGGACTTGCCGTCATGGATCGGGAGGCGATAGCCGGGGGATGGTGGTCGTTTCATAGTTAGTAGTAGTAATACCAACAATAGTAACAATACTCACAGTAGCAATGATAATGCATAGTACTATTCCTTACAAGGGTCCTTGTTATAACAGCAAGGAACCCTTGTAAGGAATAGTACTTTGTATTTTCATGTTATCGTCACATTACAATTTACCCCAGAACCGCATTTCTGATTGTCCAGGCCCCCATGGTTTGGATGAAGCTCTTAGCTTATGAGCAAGACGACAACGCAAGACCCTAAACCCCAGACCCCTGGACCTTCGCAGAAAAGGGACCATTGCACTTAAGAAAAAAACCCATAGCCTGAACCCTGAACCCTCAAAGCTGCTTTTGGAAGCCAATCCAGCCGCTTAGCCCCACGAAGATCCAGGCAGGCGCAGTCGCTGAGTTGCTGGCGCACAAGGACGGCCGGGTGAAGGCCAGCCAGCCCATGTGCATTCTTTGGGCTCATAAGGGTACTGTAAGTCAAACCATAAGGCTAGTACACTGCGGGTGCTAAATAAGGTTTTGGGGTCTAGGCTACTGGGCTTTGGGGGCTTTGGCCTTTCTGGGGGTTCTGGTTGGGCTGTCGGCGAAAGCACAAGAGAGAACGCCTAATACTTCTTTGATGTCTATCAGAAATTTAAAAAACCTTTGACGTCCTCAAGAAACTTCAAAAACCTAAATACATTTACATCAAGCGTGCTGGACAGCCACTCAACCTTAGAATCGCAACCCTGATCCCTGACCGAAAAGCTGAAAGCCCTGAACCCCTAAACCCCTAAGCCCTTAAGCCCCAAAACCTAAACCCTGAACCCCTAAACCCTGGACCGTACCATGGACTCAAGACCCGTGCGACAGGCTGCCGCGGCAGAGGCACTGAAGGACATGACCGGCGCCGAGGATCGTAGCTTCGTGAGAGTGCTTGCAGGATCATGGGACGTAAGTAAGACCTCCTTAAAGGGCTCCTTCAAGGGACTTATAGGGGGTTTGTAGGGCTTCTGTAAAAGGGGAGCATGGGACTTAGTACGTAGGCTATAAGTACCTTTCTTGGTGTGATAAGTACTTACAAGTATAAGTACCTTATTTATACAGAAGAGGACGCTGTGGGAACCTATGGTTTTGTAGTTTTCGGTATCGGTTGCATGGTTTTCGGAAGTCTCACAGCGTTCCCTTCGGTAGCATATAGTAGTTAGCTTGCATTTGGCAGACCCTAGGCACCGAGAGCCAAGATTGCGCTCCAGGACTTTCTCGGCGATCTTGGTTCTTGATTCCCGGGCCCGGCCAATATAAGAATATTAATATTTTAATATTGGCCACCCCGGGAACCAAGAACCAAGATGGCCCAGAAAGTCCTGGAGAGCAATCTTGGTTCCCACGGCCCAGGGCCGGTCAATGTTAAAATATTAATATTCTAATATTGGCCGGGCCCGGGAACCAAGATTGCTCCCCAAGACTTTCTGGGCCATCTTGGTTCTTGGTTCCCGGCCTCCCAAATATTAGAATGTTAATATTCTCATATTGGCCGCCACCGGGAACCCTTTACCATAAACTCTAGGAAACTCTATCCTGGACAGTCAACCCCGCTGCAGGTCTCTTGGCTGCAACTGCGTGACTCTTGGCCGCTCTTTGGAAATGCTTCCTTGTAGAACTCGCATGACGGCGAGATTCGAATTTCAAGACTAGTGGCTAGACTAGCGCGCCTAATCCCGCGGATTCTGCTCGAAGTACGCCTGTTAGCGATCGCCCTGCAGTTGGCGATATCTTCTTAGTTAGTATAGCCATGCAGGGCTTCAAAGTCAATGGCCATGCAATCTTGGACGGACGTCAGGTGTTGATAGCACTCGAGCCCGAAGCGCCCGCAGGTCCAGTGCGAGCACAGAACACATATGACAACCCACCCGATTCAGAGGAGTTCGTGACTGCCCTTACGCAAGGGCAGAAACCATGTCACCCATCACGACTTCGAATCACATCGCAAGAGGTGCGAGTTATGATATACAATGTGCAGTGCCAGCTGAAACTCCGTTCCAGCGAAGTCAAGTGGTCAGAAGCCGCGCAGAACAAGTTGATGCAGCTGTTGGGAAAACCCAAGCAGAAGCGGTGCAACAGATCCAGTCAGGGAGGGCCTCTGGCTCTCATGGATATCTCACCAAAGTCAATAGACGTCCCACCCAAAGCCAGATCCGCCAATGAGCCTCTCACCATTGGGAATCAGGACGGCGCCAATACGAATGACGTGGAGCACATGGATGTCGACGACGGCCGCGAAACCAACATGGCCGACAAGCACGTGGAGCTGGACAAGAAGCGCGCGTTTGTCGAGAAGGACCCCGTCACCCGAACGGACGGCGACCAGCCCATGCACATCGACAATGACAACCTGCAGGACAGCGGCACGGAGCACAAGCAGGACATGGACTACGCCATCGGCAACGACAATACCGCGAGCATGGACACGGATGACAAACACGATGCGGGCGAGAACGGCGACAACACCAAGGAGGAGGACCACGTGGACAACCATGTTTCGGACGGCGAGTGCAGTTCATCTTCAGACTCCTCCAGCTCATCGTCCTCATCGGCATCCACGAGCAAGCGCTCTCTCAGGAAGCGCATCAGAACACTTGAGTCCCAGACAGATGTTCTTCAGAGGAAGGTCGCGGTGCTGGAAAACGACCTGGACAAGGTGAACAAGGACCTCTACTTGGCCAATGAAGCACTAGGCTGTCATGACGGCTAGTCTGGTGTTATGCACACTAGGACAGACTGCATCGTCCGGAGGGTATGAAATACTGCAAATCAACCTTGAATGCTTTGCATGCGGGTCATCGTGTTGTAGCATGTAGCAGCACCATTACGGCATATTGCCTTTGCTTCACTGCAGCCTTGAGTAGCAACTCTGAGTAGTTTCAGTCCGGGCCTACCCTTTGCTTCTGTAGACGATCAGCGGTATGGCCTTACCAACACGAATGCTAGATGACGCCATGACGAAGTACAGCTCGAAGGAATGGGCTTTGATCGACTTGCCACAGCCGGTCTACGTGAACAAGTCTCTTCCCAACGCATCATGCGACTTGACATTATCTGCCTTCCAGCAGCATGCTTGTCGTTTGGACGTCGCCAAAACGTGCACTATGATCTTGGACGCTCACTTCAACATGCCAGAGATTGGCAATCTCGCCGCTGTTTGCGAGAGACTTACCAAGCTCGATCACTCGGGTCTCCCGGCAACGCTACAGCCGGCCCTATCACTACCTCATGGATGCACAGTCTCGTACATCATCAACAATAACCACGACGGCACCATGGACGTTCTTCGCATCTTGAAGTTCGCGGCCAAGCTTAATGCGAAGGAAGCCAAAGACCTCTGCACAGGCCGTTGCCTATTCCCAGCCTTTCGCCCAGGACCTTGGGCTTGGTCGAAGGCCGTGCACTCCCTTTTCAATCGATTGCCCGGTCATCACGTGGTTTGGTGGTCCTTGGAGACGAAGGAAGCCAAGAAGTCCACCGCACCCCAATGGACACCAGAGGAGGACGAGCTCCGCAAAGGTGTAAGCTTTGTCAATCGCGATGCACCTGAGGACGGCTCAGAGAACCAGCAGTACCTTTGGATATTGACAAACATCAGACCAGACAGCGGGTCGCCCATTGCGGGGTGGCCCGAGGGGAAAGTGATCCGCATGGCGCAAAATAAGTCTCGAGGCACGGTCGGCGCCACCTCATTGAGCTTCTTTCCCTTTACGGTCAGAAGCCTGAAACCGTTCATGAGCGAGTTCCTCTTGCCGCTAATCGGTCCACTGCTAACTTCTCATGGCATACTCACCATTGGATGGTCAGGGGTAGGTACGACCCCATTCCTCATCGCGCTAAGTTTGGCGCTGTGCCGCTACCACATCCAACGGCTGAACTTGGAGGGAGTGATGCCGGCATGGCGCCACGCCAAGGGCATCGATATCTTTCGTCACAAGACCGGGCATATCCAGGAGGGGTTGATTCTCGATGATCCGTCCATGGACCGGCTTGATGCAGCAGATGTGAAGTCATGGCTCACGGCCGAGGAGGGTCAGAACTGTAGCAGCCGCTACACAGATGTGAAATTGGTACGGAATGGACTGCGGGCCTTGTCTGCGAAAGATTTGGAGGATGTGGATGAACCTCCCCATGACCCTCGACGCACCAGCATCACTCCTACTGAGTTCTTCAAACTCGTCAAGAAGTTCTTCAGCTACTACAAGGAAGCAGATATCCTGGCAATCCTCAAGCGATGTGTAGTCATGGTGTTTGGGAAGCATGCGTTCTATCTTAGGTTGCCGAGCCAGGATCAGACAGCTCCCATTCACTGCATTCACCAGGAAGATCTTCATCTCGACCTATTCACGGAGCGAGACAAGCCCTACTACGCCAAGTACAAGGTTGGTGTCCAGGAGTTGCCCCCCACGCACTCGGACGACGTAGATTGGGAACAAGACCTTCTTCAACGAGGCATGCGGGAACTACAGCACGCTGGTCGTCCTATCTTCGCGAAGTCAACCAAGCCATTGCTACAAGGGTGTTATCGTCAACTATGACCGATACTGCTGTTCATCTACCGGCATCCCCATCGACTGATGAGGAGAGCCGCGTGCCAGTGCCACATCCCGAGGCTCTGCCAGTTGCTTGTACAAACCCTCCCCGCAGGATCGGCACCTTCAACTTTCCTCCGAGCAAGAGACGCTTGACTCAAAAAACGTCAGTGTCTACCGAAATCCACGAGGGTGCTGAAGGCCATGTCCCAAACGATCAGGCAACATCAAGTGGAGCGGGCCGTGCCGCTCCTGAAGATGATCCGGATGAGGAGGCTGCCCGTGACATGCACGATTAGATGTTTCACCATCATTTTGTTGGCTCCGGGCCAAGATGGCAACGCTAGGGAGGCGGTCTGTATGAACAGGACTCAACATGATGACCTCTTCAGTGGGTTCGCTTGGACCTGCGTGTGAGTGTCCTGCCATAGCCGCGTCCTGTGCCCGCCATGAAGCGCCCGGCAACCCTCAAGAAGCCCAGTGCCTCCTTCCACAAGAAGATCCACAAGGCGGCAAGAACAAAGGTTCCTTCGTGTTCCCTTCAGACGAATGCCCCGTCTGCCAGAAGAAGCTCTTCATCCGCCAGGTGCAAATCGTTGAGGCAATTTTGATTGGCAGCGAAACAATAACCGATGTGAACACTGTTTCCAAGCAGTGCAACATGCGCCGTAACACTGTGCGGCACAACCTGGTCACCCTTGGAAAAGAGTTGGTCAACACCATGTCGTTAGAGGAAATGCGAACCACGGGTGCCTTTTTCGTCACTTCGAAGACTGCTTTCTCCATCCCCTTCCTGGAGCTGACGTATCTTCGATTGTTGCGGGGCAAGCTTGCGCCAGGACAGGAAGCAGCTGTGCTACAGCTCTACCATGTCGGGGACGACAGACTTCCGACTGGACGTCGTCTTCGAGAGCTTCTTCTGCGTGCCCTCGAAGGCTTGCGGTGGCCCAAAGGACCCCCAAGCAGGCAAGCAACTTCAACATGGCCTACCCCGCGGCACACCTCACGAAGATGGATAAAGTCCTCCTCTTTCCACCATCGGATGCGGTGGACGCGATTTGCTTTGATGGCCACTTCGGCATCCACCGTGGCCTATGCCCAGTCGATCCGCCAAGGACGGCGCGACTTAAGGGGCACCCCCGCAAGAAGATCCTTAGAGAACATGACCGCAGCTGCACTTGCCGGTCGAAGGATTCTATTCGGGTGGTTCTCCCTCAGCGAACTGCCGGCTGGCATTTCGCAGTTGATCCCTCGAGCCGGAGAGTCCTTGGGGCCGTGGAGCATATTCAAAACGAAAACAACAAGGACAAGGTTCGTCTCCTCAAGGCGGTGATGAACATAGAAGCATGCAACAGACTTCAACTCCATTCGCTACTACGTGGTCGATGCATTCCATGCACCTAACCACAGGTGTTCAAAGTCAACTTGGACTCCAGCTGAGCGAAGGCGCTGTGGCAATGTCAGAACAAATGTATCCGAGTCCTTCAATGCGTGGGTTCGCAGCTTGAATTTCTTTCTTAACAACCTCCGTCCCAAGTCCCATCGCTTCTGGGTAGAGGAAATGTGTAACTTCTACAACAACAATCTGCAGTCTGTCCCGATTCGCATTTCCCGACGCAGAAAGGTCCTTGGCAGAGCCAAGAAGATGTTGAAGCGTCCCGCAGCTGTGCAGATGTTGAAGCGTCCCGCTGCTGTGCAGATGTTGAAGCGCCCTGCTGCCATACAGAAGCGTCCGGCCAGTTCTCGTTAGGTTTGTGTGGTGCGTCGCAGTTTGATGGTTTCAACCTCATAGCAAGTGGTGCCTCCAGACTGGCTGGAAGCTTGTGCATCCACGTATTGGGCTCAAAAGACATGCAGCTGCTGAGAAATCCAATAAAAACTGCTGCACATGCTCTGCAGTCCGTGCAGTGGTTGGCAAGTAGCTCCTGAAAATCAGCAGCCCGCCCCCAACCCCAGTCATCCAAGGTTACTGGTCTGCAATGATGCGTCGCAACTTGGAGGGCTTGAGGGTTTTCCGGTTTTGGTTTGATAATTCTATGTTTGCTTTTCCTTGGTACGTCGTTCCCGACCACTACAAACCTTGAAAACGATAAGTTCCCACAACGTTGTCCTCCCTATTTATAACCTGATGTACTAATGTACTACGTCCCATGATCCTCTCAGGAAAGGGTGCCAGAAGAGTGCTGTAAGGGATCCTAAAGGGGTACTAGTCGGGAATCAATAAGTGGTAGTTTATGGGGTACTATCTATGAAAGGATACTGCAAGGGGTACTCTAAGGGGTACTTCAAGGGGTAATACAATGGGTGCTATACAAGGGTTTGTCAGTGGTACGACAAGGGGTACTGTAGAGAGCATTATGGTCTTTTGGCGTTCCTTGAGCCCTACGGAACCTGGGGTCATAACTGGAGGGTCATGGGACTTAGTAAGTAAGTTTATAAGTACGTTAATTGGGGTTATAAGTATAGTTACCCTAATTATAACCCTAGTTACTAAGTCCCATGATCCTTTAGGTAACTATCGCTGACTTCGAGGATTCGAGGGCTTCGGCATTCTGCTTGAAGCAGCATGCCACGGACCCCTGGCTTCAGGTGGCTCGCAACGTCCTTGTAGGTAAGTAAGAGAGAGCGATTCCAGCTTCGACAAGTCGGAGCACCTGAAGTGAACCCTAAACCATAGCCGCCGTAGCAGCCTTGAAACCTTTAAACCTACCCCTTAAATGTAGCCCCTGCGCCCGGAAACCCGAAACCCGAGACTCCAGCCTGGACCCTGAACCCTGAACCATAAATCCTAAATCCTCAACCTAAGCCCTACACCTTAGACTCTTAGATTCTGAACTATAAACCTTAAATCCTATAAAGTCTTTTGACTTTATAGCGTTTCTGGAAGGTACTTTTGTACTCTTCATCCAGAAACGGTTCGCGTCTGAGTTTGCATGCACGTTTGTGCTGCTTTCTTAGATATCTCTTTACATGTTTCATTGCTTGTTGAGCTTGCAATTGCTTCTCAAGCGTATTTGTCTCCTGTTTTCCCTACCTCATGTCGACACCGGCAGCTCCGGCTGCGAGTCCGACTGATGCGGCGGTTGAGTCCAACTCCGCAAAGAGGCAGAAAACTAAGGAGGCGATGAAGAACATGAAAGCAGCAGCCAAGGGCCAACAGAAAGGTGCTGGTAAGGAC